CTTTGTCAGGTGCTATATATATTTTTTTATTCCAAAAAGTATTCTCGATCTTTGCTCTTGGGTGTAGTTAAGTTTACTGGAGACGATCTGATCCTCCTTGGTCTCACTTTTAAGATTTGTTAGGTGGGACCAGAGCGATGTTTTGTCTGGGGTTAGTTTTACCCCACGACTGAGGCAAAATCTTCCCTAGTATTCTAGCCGAAGCCTGGAGGATTGTGAGATTTTCCTCTCCGGCTGTTGGAGTCTGGCACGTTTCCCAGCCCCGGTGCTCAGGACACTGTTCCCTCTTATTCTTGTCCCACCCTCAGGTGGCTTCCTCACGCGGGTCACTAAAAGCGTGCAGCTGCCCCCTGTTAAATGAACTTAAGCCGGCTCGCCTCCTGTGCCTTTGAAAAGTTGAGTTGCCCAGAAATGGGAGTGGCCTGCTATCCGCTTCCATTTCCATATTGGCCCAACATATAGGCAGCCACCACGGACAGATGTGCACAATCCTAGTGGGTGCTGCTTACTGAGAACGGGGCCGACCTTAAAGAGCCAGAACTAAGAAACAAAGAGAAAGAAAACCCAGTCTCTGACCTTATGGTTCGAGCTTCTGGATCAAGCCGTGCCTGATACCGTGAATCCCCTGTGTTTTTAAATCTAGCCTGAGCTGAGAGTTCTCTTCCTTGCAATGGGAAGTATCCTCCATGACACATTTAATGATCAATGTGGAGAGTCAGGGAGAAGGGACCATCAGAGATGCAGCCCAGGTCTCCAGCCCAGAGGACAGGGGACCGTGAGGCTGCCACTAGGTGAGAAGCATCTGAGGAGGAGGAGGTCAGGTCTGGGAGCTGGACGATGATTAGAGTTTATGAAGGGTGTCCTTTGTCTTTAGGTCACTGACTCATCAGATGAGACTTGTTGTAAAAGGCTTTGCAAGGTGTAAAGCTCTGGGGTCGGGAGATGTGAGAGATGGCGCTTTAGTTCACATCTCCTTCCCATGCAAGAATGGGATGTCCCCACGGCTGTCTGGCGACTTGGCAGTGCCTCCTGTGGAGAGGGCCTGCATCTGTCCCTGGCATTGCCAGGCTTGTCCCTCCGCTTACCTGAGCCGGTGGAATGTGAGACGGTGCCCTCCTGAGTGGGAACATTAAGTGCCCTGAGTGTTGTCATAAGAACCGAATGTCCTACAGCGGGACCATGCCTTCGGCTTGGACCCTGGCATGAAGAATGTGGGATAGGCCTGCAGCTACCACGTACGGTGCATGAGACACAAATCCTCGCCTTTGAGATGTGGGGCAGCTCGCTGCCATGGCAGAGCTGCCAGGGACTGTCATGGCTGCGTTGCCTTTGGCCTGGGGTTCGCCCTTCTGCTCACACCCAGGAATCTGGTCCTGGCTAAGCCCAGCAACAGAACACGTGGTTCTGGGCAGAGAGGAAAGTCAAGACACAAGTGTCTCAGACTGAAAAAGATCGGGTTTATGAAAGTATCATTCACATGCAATAACAGCTGCCAATTTAAATGTACAATTTGACCAGGCGACAAATGTACACAGTTGGGCGATGACCGCCTTTATCACGAAATAAAACACTTCCAGGAAGGTCTCTCATGCTGCTTCGCACCCGGTCCTTCCCCACCTGCAGGTAACGACGGACCCGCCTCCTGTGGCTACCACTTCGGTGTGCCCGTTGCGGATGCCACTCCGACAGAGTCCCGCGCCCCGTGCGCTCTTGCGGATCTGCCCCTTTGGCTCGGCATGACGATGACGAGACTGCATGAGCCTGTGCGTGCCTATGCTTGGCTCCTTTTATCGCGAACCCACCCTAGATGGTTGGTCCATTCACGAGTCGATGGCCACTGGGCGTGTTCCGGTCCCTGCTACTATGAACTCTCGTGTTTGAGCCTTTTCGTGGGCAAATCTTGTCCTTGCTTTGAGGGCATGTCGTAGCAGTATATTTAAGTTTGTAAGACACTGCCAAATTATTCCAGAATGGTAGCGCGATGTCACGTGCTCCTCCCCTCGTCCCACGTCAGCGTATGAGAATTCCAGATGATCTGTATCCCGGCCAACACTTGGGAGGCCCCACCTCTGAAATGCAGCGCTGTAGTGGGTGTGAAGTGGCGTCTCGCTGTGCTTTCAATTAGCGTCCCCAGGATCACTGCGTTTCATATGCTGGTTGGCCGGGCAGAGAGCTCCATCTGGGGAGCGGAAGCTCGCGGCCTTTGGCCATGTCCGTATGGGGTTGCGCATCTCAAGACTGAGTTGCCAGCGTCCCTTATACATTCCGAATAAAAATCCTCGGGCAGAGACGTGCGTTGCAAATATTCTCTCGGTCTAAGATTTGCCTCTTCAGTTTTCTTCACTGTGGTTTTGGAAAAGCCGGATCCTTCCATTTGGGCGGAGTCCGTTTATCGATTTTTTTTTTTTTTTTACTTTTGTGGTTAATGCTTTTTGTGTCCTTGTGATGACTTCATGGGCCCATGAGTCATCTTGCAGTTAGTTGTCTCTGACTGCTTATTTCTCTGCTGTGGGTCATTTTCCTGTTTTTTTTTTTTTCTTTTTTCACTGAACCTCGTGAGGGATACATTCTAGTCTCTTTCATCCCTCTGGAGAGTCGAGAGTTTTGTCCTAGCAGGTAGCTCCATTTCCTCTCTGCCCTGAACTAGTAAGTACTTGAGTTCGTATTTTGTTGGTGGGTTTGGGGGAGTCCCAGGTGTCCCTGAGTCCCTGGCTCAGGGAGAGCCACCTTCCGCCCTGCCCCCGGGGACCCCGTCTGGGCTTGTGTTAAGTTCGTTGGGGGTTGGGGGTCTAAAGCGGGTCTTGCCCTGGAGTGTGTCCTTACCCCTGGGTGTGACTTCTCGCCAGCTGGGTCACTGAGGCTCTGCGCCCCGGCTGGAGCACGTCCCCTGACACCACTCAGCCTCTGGAGTCACATCGCGGCCCCTCGCTGGCGCCCTGCCTCACAGCTTCCAGAACCATCAGCGCCCTGAGCTCTGTCAGCTGCCTCCTCCACTCAGTGCGACCACCGTGCTTTCCGAGGACATGCTCGCTGAGCCATGGCGGGAACCGTCCTAGGGGATCTTGCTGTTCTTCTCCCGAGCCTCCCTTCACCCACTACATGGTCACGCACAGCTGGCCATACAGCGCCGGGCGCGAGGTGCCTCGTACCTGTCGTCCAGGTGCGTGGCTGTCCGTCAGGGGTGGGTCGGTCTAGCACCAGATTTGTCGACAGAAGTGGAAGCAGAAGTCACCCAGAGCTCTTTAGTAGACCTGAGGTCTGTCTAGAACCACGAGCTCAGGGCAGACAGCCCCAAACAGGTGAGCCGCTCCTTCCACCAGGTACACGAGCGAGGAGCTGGGATGACCGGCCAGGACGCGATGCCAGGGGAGCTCCAGGCAAGACTGTGGGTCCCCAAGCTGCAGAAGAGCCAAGCACAGTGCCTGGCACACGGTGGAGCGTGATGGCGGTGTCCCCTGACCTGCGAGACCATCTGCAGCTCCCTGTCTGTGTCCTGCCCAGGGCCTGTTGCTCTCGTGGTGTTTAAGGAAACGTCTGTCTTCCCTCTTCTCTCCCTGGAGAGGCGCAGACCGCCCAGCACCCTCGCAGGGCTCCCCCGCTAGCCTCAACCCCTCCCAGAAGCATTCATTTCCAGCCCTGGCTGCGAGGGGCTCCCAGCGACGGTGCACCCACCCCTCCCCCGTCACGGGGACATCTGTGCACAGTCCTCTCCTGACCGATGTGCCGTGGGACAAAGAGGCACCACCCAAGAGGAAGGCATGACCTGGCCGATCACCCCTCCTCAGGAAAAGAGACAGAGACCCCGACTGGAACAAAGCCAAGGTCAGCTCCTGACCTTGACACCGACTGCTCTGCTCCAAACAGCTCACATTTCCATGGCTCCACATGGCCCTTTTATTATTGGAGGTACACCACAGCATCATTCATTCATTCATTCATTCGTGTTGGGGCAAACATGACCTGAGTTCTCCCAGCCCGCCCCCTGCCTCTCCCGAAGGGGGGTTGGTTTCACCCGCTGTGTTCCTTCCCCTCTCGCCCACCCCCAAGGAGGAGGTGGCTGCCCTTGCTGCTTGGAGCCTTGGACCTTCTAGGATGCAGACTCAGGATGGAAAAAAGCTTTGGAGACAGAAGGGGTGGGTGGGGACTGTGGGATGGTTTCAGGGAGGGGCCACGGGAGAAAGTACACCGATGCAGCTCTGTGGGCCTTTCCTGGGGTTCAGAGGTGCAAAGAAACTAGAACTATTCTGAAGTTAGTTACGAGTCTCTGGACTGGGACCGACACTGCTGGCTCCCTGACCCAATCGCACTCCCAAACCTTCCTGACCCTCTGCCTCCAGGGACAGACTGGCTAATCGCCCTTCTTCCCAGCATGTTTAGCCATGGGATGGCCATGCGACCTATTTCCACCACTGAGACACAAGCAGAAGTCTGTGGGAACTTCTGGGGGAAGATTTTATGTTTTTAACTTTCTTGATTAAAAAAAAAAAAAAGAAGAAAAGACAAACACAGCCGGCACGGTCCTTCCTCTTTCTTCCTACCTTGAAGGTAGAGGTGATGGTAGAGCCGTGGCAGCCATCTTGCAGCCACGAGGCAATGAGCAAGCATGGCAAGCCGAGAGACCTGCAGAGACGTCAGCCACTGAACCAGCAGCCCCTTACTTCCCAAACTTCCTGTGTGAGAGAGAAGACGACAGAACACAACCTACCTGTTTAAGCGAAGGTTACTTGGGGCCTGTGTCATTTGTTATTGAAAGTATTCCTACGGGACACGTAGACTGTGTGCGTGTGTGCATGCGTGTGTGTGTGTGTGTGTGTGTGTGTGTGTGTGTTAACTGCAGCACTGACACTGGATCACGTGGGGCGAGGTCCCAACAGGGTCGCACGGTTTCCCACCGCCGTTTGCCGAGCGTCCGCTCTGTAAGAGGCGCGAGGTCCTGCTGGTTAGAGGACAGAGAGACGGCTGTCCTGGAGGAGTCCGGCGGGGGCGGGGGAGGGGCAGGTGTCGACCAAGCAAATCAAGGGGACCGTGGGCCCTGAAGGGCGGAGCAGGGGCTGGTCTGTGTGTCCGTTCTGGAGGAGGGGAATCAGCGACAGTCCCCCTGGGAAAGTGACGCTGGGGTTTGGACCTTGTTATTATGCAGAATGTCGTCCCCTCAGATTTATACGCTGGGGTCCTCACCCCCAGTGTCTCGGAATGTGACTTTATTTGGAAAGGGGTCTTCACGGACGGAATGAAGTTCAAGTGAGGGCATCAGGGTGGCCCTGATGCAGGGTGACTGGTGTCTTTATGGAGGGGACACAGACACACGCATAGAGGGAGAACACCCTGTGAACACGAGGACGGCCGCCTGCAAGCCCCAGGGGAAACCAGCCCTGACGACACCTGGATCTCGGACTTCTGGCCTCTGGAACCGGGAGACGATAAATTTCTGTTGTTTAATCCCCTAGTCTGACACGTGTATTCATGGTTTCTTTGAATGTATCTTGTCTGAGTTTCTCTGAGCTCTTGAATTCAGAAATATATGTCTTTTACCGCATACAGGAGGTTTTAGGTTATTATTTCTTGAAAGATTTTTCTACTCCCATCTTTCTCTTTTCCTTCTGGACCGAAATGGGAAAGCTTAGATCTCTTGATATGGCCCCACAGAATTTCTGATAATCCGTTCATTTTCTTTCTCGATTTCTTTTTCTCCGTGTTCATCAGATTGGATGCTTGCCATTGCTCTACGAGTTCGCCGACTTTTGCCCCTGTCACCTCCCTTCTGCTACTGAGCCCACTCCGTGATGTTTTAAAATTTCAAATATTTCAGGACGTGGTTCCATAGCGTAGCGGTGAGCACGTCTGCTTTACACGCAGAAGGTCCTGGGTTCACGCCCCAGTGGAGCCACGGTCCATGGTCTATGGCCACGCCGCCCTGAACGAGCCCGACGTCTGATCTCGGAAGCTAAGCAGGGTCGGGCCTGGTTAGTACTTGGATGAGAGACCACCTAGGAAGATCAGGTGCTGTAGGCGTAAAAAATAATAAATAAAAATAAATAAAATAAAATTTCAAATATTTCATTCGTTCCGGTATTTGACTATCTTTCAATGCTTTCTCTGCCCAGATGTCCTCGCTTTTCATTGCCCTGAGATACATTTTTCTTTACCTCGGGGTTGTGGTAGCTGCTTTAAACCCTTTGTCTGAAGATTTCAGTGTGTAAGTCATCTTGGCATTGGCAACTGTGGATTGTCTCATCCCTTGAGAATGGGTCAGAATTTTCTGTTTCTTTGTATGTCAAATAACTTTGGATTGTATCGTAGGCAACGTGAATGCTCTGCCGTGTAGACCCTGGGCTCTGGGGAATGTTTATTGATTTATTACTTTTTTTAGCAGGCAACGAACCCAGCGGGGTTCAGACCATAAGCTCTGTCTCGTCTTCCGTGGGGGGTTGAGCTCTCAGTTCAGTGCTTGGTTCGGTACTTGGCTCGGCTGCTTTGGGTCCCGCCTGTGTGTACGTGGCTCAGGGTCGGGCTGGCGCTTGTGCAGACTCCTGGTTTGAAAACAGCCGGTTGTTCTCAGCTCTGCCCCCAGGTGAAGAGGAATTTTCTACTCACATGGCTAACCTTGGAATCAGCTAGGCCGAAGGGCAGGGTGACCTCGAGATCAACTGAAGACTCACCCTCCCGTTTGCTCATTCTGTCTGGGTAACAGATGTGTCTCCTTCCTTTCGTCTCTGCAACTGCCCGTAACCCATAGCAACTCCTGAGGACAAATGAGCTAATCGGCCCATGCCGACTGTAACTGTGCGGATAAGCCCTATAAAAGCAGGGTTACCCCTGAGCTCGGGGCCCAGATATTCAGAGCGCCAGCTCCTCTGGGACCGCCGGCGTCAGAAACCTGAGTTCTCCAACTCTCTGAGTGCTGCTTGGTTTCTCGCCGGGCTGATTTTTCTGCAACACAGGATGTCTCCCTCACCCCCAGCCAGCCTGGGCTCCTTACCTCCAGCCAGGAAGACGACAGGGTTTGGCTCCCACATGGCACCAGTTGGGACTGGGGTTCACCTTTGGGGCAAAGTTATGAGACAAAAGAAAAGAGGGAAACCCACCCCCTCTGCAGGCAGCTCTGCTCCAAGTTTCGACCTGTGTCACAACTTGTGCTTTGTGCAGGGTGTGGACTTGTAACCAGTCGCGGGGTGGGGGAGGGGCTCACGCCAACACAGTGGACCCGCATCCTCCGTGACTTCGCACATGCGCCCACGTTCACGTCGCCATCACCTAGATCGATAGAAAGGGGCACTGCTCGTCACCCTAAACTCCCCGTCCGAGGCGGAGCCCGCTCCCCTGGGTAACCATCGTTCCTACTTATCTGACCTGCCTAGCTCGGCCTGGTGTGGACCTTATGTAAACAGAACCATGCCCGAGGCACTTGAAAACGCCTGGCTCTCTTTTATTTTTAACACAACGTCTGAGAAGGCATATTCACGCCGCTTCGCGTGGAGGTGGCTTATTACTCTCAGAGCCGGGTGACAGCGTGCCGCACGGTGCGAACAGCCCGCAATCGATTGATCCGTTCCACTGTCGATAGACCCTGGGACGTTTCCAGTTTAGGGAGCCGGGCTGGGCAGCACAGAGCAGAGAGGCCACACGCCTGTCTCCCGGAGTCACGCAGGCCTGGCTCTGCCGCACGCCGGCTGTGTGACCTTGGGCAGGTCACTGGCCTTCTCTCGGCTACAGTTTTCTCATCCGTGATGTGGGGATCGTGATATTTTTACTATTTGCTGCGTTGTTATGGCGATCAATTTCGACGAGGCACGTGAAATCCCTTCGCCCGTCGCCTGCCAGAGCAGGTGATCGATACATGGCAGCTGGTAAATTATCATTGGCGGGAGGGGACGCAGTTACAAATGTCGGCTCTGGCATCTGATGTGGATTCCAATTTAAGTGAAGCAATTGTTACTGAACACTCCGCGTAGGGCCATGCAAACAGTAAGCTCACAGGTTATCCTCATCGGAACCTGGGATTGCAATCCTGACGACCTCTGTGACATCCCCACAGTAGGTGTGACCTTTTCAACCAGACATGAGCTAGTGAGCCCCCGGTCACACGGCAGGGAGGAGCTGCAGCTGGGACTGGGGTTCGAGTGGGGGCCCTGCTCACTCCACACAGCCTTCCAGACGTGGGGGCCCTGCTCCCCCAGGTTTCAGGTGCTGTCCCTCCCCGCCCCCCACGGCCTCACCTTGATAAGATAGGGCCCCACCCTGGCTTCCGCTTCCGGCCGGCCTGGAAGGGGCGTGGCACCCTGAGAGAGTCGAGGTGGCGGCATATTCTTCTCAGGGTCCAGCGTGCAGGCCCACAGGGCTCACGGGGGTCCCCTGGCCCATCCGTCCCCGCGTCGGCCCTGGGTCTGGGCAGGGCGCCCCCTGGCTGTGCCGGTGGTGGGCTGCATAGCTCCAGGGACACTGTTCTCCCTGGGTCATGGTAGCCCACTGCTCTGGAGCTCCTTGGGTGCGTGCTCTGTGCACAGACCTGCGTCCCACCTGCCGTTTCCCCGGCACAGGCAGTGTCAGCCCCCCGGGGTCGATGTGAAGGGCACTGGCGGGGCACCGTGGGGCTCTGCTCCCCAGGAATCCGGGCCCCTCTGGGGCGGTGCGGCCATCGGCTGGTCTGCAGAGGCCAGACCTCGTGACGGGCCCACGCCCGCTGAGGGGCTCTGAGGGGCCATGGGGTACAGGTCCCAGAGTGCTCTGGGTGGTAGAGGTCAATCTCGGGTCGCTGAGCGAGATCAGGCTCCAGCATCGGGGCCGGGGTTCGAATCCACATGGCACCTGAGGAAGGTTTCTTCCCTCTCTGTGCCTCGGTTTCCCCATCTGCAAAGTGGGCATGATGTCAGTGCCTGTGCATGGGGTCCTTGTGGGGACCGAGCCAGGTGGCCCAGGTGAGGAGCCGCTTGGTCGGCACAGGTTGTGCTTGCGCCTGAGGCAGCCAGGTCAGGGCAGTGCCACTGGAGGTGTCCAGGGGCCTTTGAGAGGCGCCGCGGGCCTTGGGTCCACATACCAATTGCCACCCACACAGGCTGACTGACGTCCCTTCCGATGTCACAGCGGGGCTAAGGTCACTTGGAATTGCAGAGGGGGCGGGTGAGCTGGCGGTGGGGGCAGGACAGAGTCCCCAACAGGGGACAGACGGGGCTCAGTGGCTCCCCTCGAAGACCCCAGGCTGCTCCAGGACAGGCCCGGGCTTTGTCATGGGCTTCGGGGAGAGCTGAGGGCTCTCCGCCTGCCCCGGCCCCCCGCCCCCCACACCACAGGTATCACCAGCAAGTAACCCGGGGCCACAGACTGGAGGGGCTGGGGAGAGCAGGCGAGTGCAGGGGACAGATCTGCACAGCCCCGGGCCAGGCCCAGAGGGGTTAGGGGGCAGATTGCAGGGTAGCGCGGGGTGGCAGGGTGCGTGGGGATCGCGATGCCTCTTCCCGTCCTGTCCCCCGCTGCCCTTCTCAGCCCAAAGAGGAGGATCGGTGTTTAGCGAGCACCCCCACCTCCCGTGTGCCGGGGAATAACCACAGAACGCCCCTGCGAAGGGGTAGCAGTCAGCCCCCGTCCCCCATGATACTGAGGAGCAAAGGCAGGCTCGGGGATGCCCAGGCTCATACCCAGGGGCACCCAGCTTGCGAATGGGTGGAGCCGGAACGGAAGGCAGGCTGGTCTGGCCGCCCCCTCCCTGCCACTGCCTTCCAGCCTCCGAGCAGAAATGAGCCTCATCGGTTACGCATGGAGCTGCCGTGTAGCCCAGCGACTCCGCCTCTAGGTATAAACTCACGAGAAATAAAACCGCGTGTCCACACAGAAACTTGTACACGAATGACCGTAGCGGTGTCATTCATAAAAGCCAAAAGGTATAAACCACCTTAATGTCCACTGACAGATAAATAAATAAATGAAACGTGGCCCGTCTGTACCAGGGGCTATTTCTCAGCCCTGGCAGGGAACGAAGCACGACACACACTACGAGATGCATGAAACTCAAAAGCATTGCGCTCAGTGAGAGAACCAGGCTTAAAAGGGCCACACATTGTGTGATCCTTTTATACGAAATGTCCCAACAGGGAAATCCATAGAGACAGGAAGCAGATGAGTGTTGCCAAGGACCAGGATTCAGGGGTGGCAGCTAAAGGGTGTGGGGTTTCGTTTGGGGGGGGAGGGGGAGGAAAATGTTCTAACACTGATTATGGTGATGGATGCTTAGCTCTCAATATACTAAAAACCACCGAATTGCACACTTCGAATGGGCAAATTGGAGGGTACGTGGATTATACCTTTAAAGGTAAAATCGTTAAAGGTAAAGAAACCTAGTCAATGTGGAAGGCACCTAGCCCGGTGTCCTCCCCCTTGTAGGTAACTAAATGAATAAACAGATAAAAGATGATAATAATAATAATTAATAATAATAATAATAATAAATGAATAGAGACCACACAAAAAGTGCCCAGCCCCGAACTTTGCCACTTTAAAAACACTCAATAAATATTGGTTTCTGTTCCCATTCTGTTTCCCCCGCAGTGCCCACTCAGGTCCAGACTCAGGGGCTGTCGGGCTATGCCAGCCGGCTGCCCTGGCCGGGGCCTGGTCTGGGTATCGCGGTGCTTGGTAACCTGTAGCACGCTCACTTTGCTGGCAAGACACCTCAAGGTCCATCTGCCAAAGTAACATATCCGGAGGTGCACGGTGATAACGGATTTGGGTGATTCTGTATGAGTCAGTGCACAGCTGCTGCGTAACGAAAGGCCCGAAAATACTGTGGCTCGATCTTGAAATTAATTTCTTGCAAAAAGGGCCAGACAGGCAGCCCGGGCTACCTGGGCTCCTTCCATCTTTCTGCCCAGCTGTCCTCATGAAGCAGCTTCCATGGGGTCTCAGGTGGGGAAGGGGGCAGGGAGGGCACAGGTGTCCACATGGCACGGGGCAGATCTTATTTGTGGCTGTGGCTTATTGCAAGGGACTCTGGGAAACGTGGCGTGTAGCCGGGCGGCCGAGTGCCCAGCTCAGCTTTCTGCTGCTTGGCAGTGGGATGGATGGGAAGGCAGGAGGGAAGAGTGGGCTGTGGCGCGCAGGGCCAGCAAGCATCGGGCATCTCGACTCACATCTGCGAGTGAGGGTGACAGTATCGAGGGCCGCTTGGGAGGGAGAATGGGGCACAGCACGCCCTCAGGAAATGGGAACTACCTCGCTGTTCTCCCTGCCCGGGTTGGGGGCCGGGGGTGGGGTGAGAGCCCCAGTGGGTGGAGTGAAGACTGGGCACGGGGCGAGTAGAATCTGCTGGAAGCCCGGGAGACTCGGCCTCTGCCACCCTCAGCTGGGGGTGGACCAGGCCGAGGGGCCTCGGCGCTGCCCGCTGTCCCAGGTCTGGCCAAGCTCCTGCGGGCACTGCCCCACCTGTGATGCCATCTCAGCATGCCCAGGGGTCACAGCTCTTCCCTCTGCTCTGGCCCCAGACCCACTGGTGGGCGGACGCTCGATCCATTCTGTTTTGAAAGAAAACAAACTCTTTTGAAACCGCTGCTGGGAGCACAGCCTGAGAGTCTCGTCCCCTCTTTTGGGACCGGTGGACACCTGAGTTTCGGGGAAGGCTGAGGGGGAGGCCTCACGTGGGATGACCACCCACCGCCTCTGCGGAGGCGGCGTAGCCCATTACGAGAATGTTGCAATTGATGTGAGTCGAACTAGGCGCGAGATGGGGGTGACAGGTGCGAGTGACGTTGTAAAGCAGACATCCGTGGACTTAGGGCACTCGGGCCCACGGGGGCCCAGGCCATGCCGTGGAAAATCGGCTCGGCCTCAGGTCTCGAAGGCGGGTTCCTGTTTCAAAGGTTCTAGGGGCCCCGGCAGGGCATAGGGCTTGGGGCAGGGCTGCAAGGTGGGGTCCTCGCCATGCCCAGGGTGGCCGAGCTGGAAGGAGGACAGTGTCGTGCGGAGCCCAGGGTGGGAGGTCCCCGCCACCCTCCGTCCTCCGGTAGCGAGAATGAGCTCCCTGAGAGCTCTAGAGGTTGGAGGTGTCTTTCCTGCAGCCTGAAGGGTGTGGGTGCCCGGGCAGCTGCACCCCACAGTGGGCCCAGAGCCGGGCGTGAGGAGAGCCAAGTCCCCAGTCCAGAGAAGCACGGCCACCCAGCCTGGGTGACCCCCGCACAGCCTCAGAGAGACACTGACCATGCGGGGCTGGGCCAGGGTCACAAGGCAGTGACACCCATGGTGACCTCCTCCCGGGCCAGGGGCTCAGCACTGATAGCTTCTCATGTACCATCTGGGGTCCTCCTCAAAGAACCCACTGAGGGCTGCTAGGGCGCCATCTTGCAAATGAGAAACTGGGCTCCCAGGAGAAAGGGGACGCTGGCTGGAGGGGATGCAGCGGGGGGGTGGCAGAGACACGGCCCTCTGCTCATAGCCCCGTGAAGCCACAAGCCGCGAGGGCACCAGCATGCGGCGTGTATGCGTGTGCGTGTGCGTATGTGCGTGCGTGCATGTATGTATGCGTGCATGTGTGTGCGTGTGCGTGCGTATGTGTGCGTGCGTGCATTGCGTGTGCGTGAGTGTGTGTGTGCACGTGCGTGTGTGGATGTGTGCGTGAGTGTGCATGCATGTGCGTGCATGTGTGTGCGTGCATGTGTGTGCGTGCATGTGTGCGCACGTGAGTGCATTGCGTGCACGCATGTGTGTGTGTAGGGTGCGCATGTGCACGTGTGTGCGCACACGTGAGTGCATGTGCATGTGTGCATGTGTGTGCGTGTGTGTGCGCGTGTGCATGTGTGTGCGTGCTAATGAAACAAAACCCTGGGGGGTCTAAGCCGGACCTACTTGGGCTCTTCCCCTGACGTGCGGGAGTGTCGGCCCTGGGACCCCGCGACGGGTCGCATTATGGGGCAAGGGTGACTTCGCGTCCTAGAGCCACAGGCTCGAGCCAGGTCCCGGTTCTGCCAAGACCCTCGGCCTTTTCATCAGGAGCCCGCGCCTCGGTGTCTGAGGCCCAGGCAGGCGAGCACTGAGGCTGCGCCCTCTGCCTCTGCCTGGAGGGCCTGCGGGTGGCAGAGGCTCCATGGGCGGGGTGGCCAGGCGGCTCTTTCCGGGTCCCCGCCCCGCGGAGGGGGCCCCACACCAGGACAGGAAGCTCCTCCCGGCACAGGGCCTTTGTGGGTGCAGATCTCTCCTCCCCCACCTCACTCAGCGACGCCCGTCCTTGGCTCGGATGGCAGATCTCGGGTCCCTTCCCAGGCCGGGGTCTCCGACTTCCCTGCTGGGGTCACCCTCGCAGCCTCCGGCGTCCTCCTTCGTAGGAGTTGTGACGTCACACTGACGTCCGGGCTGCCTTTTTCACTTCCGTCGTCCCCACTGGACTGAGCGCAGCCCGCCCCAGCAAACCCTGTGCCCCTTCGCCCCAGCGGCCATGGCGAGGGCAGCCCCCAGGGAGAGCCTTAGAGGGTGGTTGAGAAGGTGGGGGAGGGGCTGGGTGGCCCTTGAGGCTGGAGGGTCCAGGGGCACAGGTGACGAGGTGCTCAAGGTCATAGATTTCATGGCCAGGCAGCCTGCATGGTGCCGCCGACGAGCTGAGTGACCGGGGCCAACTCACCCGCTCCGTGCCTCAGTTTCCCCTTCTGTCAAGTGGGGGTAGTGACACCCCCCACAGGGGTGTTGCAAGGACTGAACGGGAGAGTTCGTGTAAAGGTCCGAGTGGCGGAAGCACGTCCTGAGTGCTGGGCGTGTGTCAGCTCGCTCTACTTCTTTCTCGTGTGCTTCGAATCGAAAGTTTATTAAGTTACGGAAATGATATATAAATGTTCGAGGCCCAAACTTAAAGGGACCGAGAATAATTTTAAAAGGAAATGTCAATCCCCAGAAATCTTGCCACCAAAGTGACCGCTGCGAGTAACAGACAACCTCCCAAATAGCAGTGGGTTAAACAGGCCAGAGATCGGTCTCTCTCTCGTGCGGAAGCCTGGAAAGGGTGCGGGAGGCCTTCAGAGACTGGGCCCCTTCCTGTCCCCTGAGACATCACCCTGGAAGTGTGGCCCCCCTGTGACCTCTTGGTCCAGGATGGCTGCTGGAGCTCCAGCCATCACATCCGTGTTTCAGCCAGCAGGATAGAAGAAGGGGCAAAGAAAGTACACACCACTTAACTATTAAGGAAGATTTTTGGAAGCTGCAATGTACCCTTCCTCCCTCTCTCTCTCTCTCCCTCTCTCTCTCTATTTCTCTCTTTCTCATTTAAGGCGTCACTTAACTGCAAGAGAACCTGGGACATATGGGTTCTCTTACCAGAGAAGAAAGGAGGATGAATATTGGGGGACAGCCAACAATCCTGCCATTCGACGTTTGCCATTTCAGTGAACAGGCTTCTTTCTCACTGTTGCGATGTTAGTACACACACACACACACACACACACACACGCACACGCACACACATGCGCACACACGCACGTGCGCACGTGCACAAACAACTTCACACGCATAGGACAGCAGGATGTTTACTTTTTTCGTTCCAAAGCAGACCCCAGGCACCTTCCACGTCCACCGTCGGAGATTCACAGGTCGTTTTTAAAGACGGCTCGTGATGCCACCGTGCAGACATGTGATGACCCCGGTGGTACCGTTTCCTGGGTCGTAACCCCGGCTGGATGAGCACCGGGTGCCTGGACGGAATGGTTCCTTAGCGGGAGTTCCCAGAAGCCGAAACGCTGAGTCAAAGCGAGACACTTCTGACATCTGGACGTGACTGGAGAAGCTGCCCTTCTGAGAAGTGTCCTAGCTCACACCCCCCACACCATCTGGTGTCGGTCGCATGTGGGTGATCAGGCCCAAGGCGGCGTGTGCCCAGACCTGAGGCTCACCCTGACCCCTCCCAGGCCTGTTTCCATAACTGCTCGGACGCTAAGGCTCTCTCCTACATCCTGCACAGGGGGCTGTGCCGCCGGTCCTCCAGGGGACCCTGGACACAGACCATCGAGAGACCCTGCCCACTCCAGACAGCGGCAAGGAGCAGGAGCCTGGCACAGATGCCTGAGGCCACTTAGGGTCAGGCGAAGCAAGAGTCGTGGCCTGGTGTCCCGGATGAGGACTGAGGTGGGTGGCCCATGGGCGGCCCATCCCCTCCATCAGGTGGACAAAGAGAGCAGAGCCACCAAGGCTTGAGACGTCACATCTGAGAGTGCGCAGAAGACAATCTGGAGGTCAGCCTGAGAGCTCCCAGCTCTAGAAAAATAAAAAATGGGCAGGACGCCCAGTCAAATTCGAATTTCAGATAAACAACAAATAATTTTTAGTACCTCTCAAATATCGCATGGACGGCCTAGAAGTAGAACAGAGTCTGAGGTGAGAAATTGGAGCGGCGTAAGCCACGTGTCCCTCGCGGGGCAGGGCGTCCCCACCCCGGCCCCCGTGAGTGCGTTTCTCCTTCTCGTGGGACCCCAAGTCCTTCCTGGAAGACGTGACTGGGGGTGCACGGTCCGTCCACCGTAGAGGTGTCGGGTCATCACCAGATACTCGCCAGCAAGATGACGGCAGGGGGACATGTCTGTGTGGCAGATTGGCACGGGGGCAAAGCCAGGTCTCCAGTGACACCTGCCGACTTGCGTCGCCTCTGAGCTAGAACTCACCTCCTCGCAGATGGGGTCCGGCAGGGCTGAAGAAACGAATCCCGTCTGGGAGTTAATGATGCGCTTCGGGGCACAGCGACTCGGGTCCAGGGCCGTGGCATGCCGGTGTGATGGGGTCTTGCATGAACCAAAGCTCGGCCGCGGACCGCCCCATCCCACCCGTGCCAGGCCTCTGCTCCCGGTCTCGTCCGTCTGCGTTGCCCCTGAAATTGCACTTGAAGGACACAGTGGGAACTCAGGGTCGGAGTCCTGGAGGCTATGTGGGTGGGTGGACGTGTGGTTAATCTTCTCGTTTGCTTTAAAATTTTTCTGCTTTTCTTCATTTCTCAGGTTTTCTCTAATGAAAGACGTCACCTTAATAAGAGGGAAAAATGCGTTTGTAAAACCCTCTGCTCTCCCCGTCCTCTCTGAGCAGTGAAGCATCCTCTCTGGAGGCTAACACCCGGGCCCCCCCCCCGACCCGGGACCACCTTGGACCCCTCGGGGGGTGCTCCCACCCCGTGGCCTTTCACCTTGATCAGCAGCAAGAGTCAAGGCAGGGCAGGAGCCGGTAGATGTGGGGCTGGGGCCAGGCGTGGTCCTCAGTGAGGGCAGAGGGGACGGCGAGCTAGGGAAGGGCCAGAGACCAGACCTCAAGCCTCGACGGGGACAAGGAGCAGGGCTGTGTCCAGTGTGCCCTTCCCTCAGCTCCCACCGGCTAACGTCTCCCATAACCGCGGCCCACTCGTCAAGTCAGAAATTCACCCTGGGACAACACCGTCACCTAAATCTCAGACTTCCATCAGATTTTACGTTTTTCCACGAAAGTCCTTTTTCCCTTCTGGGATCCCACTCGGGACGCCACGTACCGGAAGCCACGTGTCTTCGTCTCCACATTACGCTGTAAGAGTCAACGGCGTCGACGCGTCACCTCCGTTCATTCATTTTGCTGTCCCATGGTGTTTAGTTGTGTGAAACGGCACCGTCCTGTGAATGGACATCCGGCTCGTTCGCACGATTGGCACAGAAAACGCGGTGGAGACGGACGTTCTCACGCTTGTCCCCGGGCGAGCGTGGGCGAGGGTGGGCGAGGGTTTGGGAGCGGAATGGCAGGGGTCATGGGCGGGGCCGAACTGCTGTCCAAACCGACTCCCCCGATTTTCCCCGGTGGAGCCCGTCTCTCTACGTCCACGCGGCGCTTGCTGTGGGCAGCGTCCTTGCTTTCGGCGGAGGGTCCGAGCGATGCCCTGACGTCGCGTGGTGTGAATGGGCATTTCCCCGATTGGGCTGCACGCGTTCTACTCTACATTTCTACTCTAAGTTTCCCATTTTGTCAGTTTCCCTCCATTTTCCCATGGTTTGTAAAGTGTCATGTATGCTGGATACGGATACTCTGTCAGTTCCCATGGAGTTCGCCTCTGGGATCTCCCTGGAGGAAAGAACTGACTGCTTAATTAGGGAGCTTGAGATGAGATCAGCCTGAGGACAGGGTGGGCTCAGGGCACATGAGGGGTGAGGGATACATCCGAGGGCTCGGGGTGGTTCCAGGGAAGGGGAGAAAAGGGTAGGAGTTTGGGGCAGCGTTGAGTGACACCCATGGGCCGGAAGTCAGGTAGAGGGGGACGGGGGGGAGGGATTTGGGGGACATCGTGGGGACTCTGGCCTTTACTCCAGCAGAAATGAGCAGCCACAGGTGGATTTTGAGCAGCCGAGCAACATGACCTGATGTAGATGTGACAGGACCGGATACTGCGCTGAAGAGGGCAGAGGCCAGGGCTGGCAGGGGTCGCACAGGGGCCGGGCTCCCGCCGGTGTGGACCAGGGTGGTGGCAGCGTAGAGCCGCGGTCAGATTCTGGGGGCGGGGCTTGCTGGACTCACGCGTCGGAGGCGGGAGGTAAGAGAGCAGGATGGAGGGTGAGCCCGGGCGGGTCACCGAGGTCGTTTGTCCTCCGTCTCATTCTGTCTCTCCTCCCCGACTTCCCGCCACGGAAGCCCCTTGCTGACAGGGGCCACTTCCATCTCGTCCGGCACTGTACCCACCCGTTCACTGGTGTCCTCATAGGAAGAGATCAGGACACACACACGCACAGAGGGACGACCACGTGGGGACACTGGGAGGAGACGCCATCACACGCCCAGGAGGGAGGCCTCGGGAGGAACCGCCCTGCCCACATCCAGCCTCCAGACTGGGGACAGTAGCGTCTGTGGTTTGAGCCGCCCGGTGTGTGGGGCTCGGTACCGCCCGCCCAGCAGCCGCACAGGCGGGGCTGCAGAGTGTGCCCTCCGTGCAGGGGCCGGACCCGCACTGCCAAGGCACAGCCACGGGGTGGGGCGCCTGGGGATTGGTGGCTGAGCTGGGGCAGGATCCCCGTCCCCTGGGCACCCACACTAGTCCCGGGGCCACGGCGCGGGGCAGGGGACAGCATGCTGTCCCTGGTTTGCTTGGCTGTGACACAGGCCCAGCACCTCTGTGACAGAGGAAACCAGGCCGGGTTCATTGTGCACTTCTCCCCAACGGTCCCCGAGCCTAGGACAGGGGACCTCAGGCCTCGAGGCCCCTCCCCCAGCCTGCCTCTGGGGCACCGGCTGTGGGTGGGGTGGGTGGGGGGCACGCTTCCATGTGGCCAGGCCTGCTGCGCCCCTGCCAGCCGCTTCCTCTGGGTGCGTCTGTTTCCTGCAGCCCGGCCGAGCTCCACCCCGTCCCCACTCCCCTTCCTCCGCCTCCCCGGTGTGGGTCGGTGGCCCAGGGCCCAGGCAGGTGGGCACCGTGGCCCCAGAGGGCCTGCTCACCCCGGGCCACCCAGGCCGGCCCCGGGGGAGGCCGAGGTGTGGAACCGGGGCTGAGGTCTCTGTCCGGAGCCTGGGGAGCAGGCAGCGCGTTGTCAGCGCAATCTGTTGGCTGGGGGCCGACCTGCCCCATGAGGGGTGAGGTAACGTCCTGCAGAGGCCACGCGGAAAGGGCGGAGACTCCCACGGAGACTGGGCCTTTTCCCAGAGACCCTGGGAGGGTGATGGCTTGGGGTGATCTGCAGGTTGCGGGGCAGGTGCCGGCACTGCTGGGACACACGGTGGGAGCTTGGGGGGTGGGGGTCAGGGCCCCACCCCGGACCCATTTCCTTCTGCTGAATGGACAGTGACAGCCAGCATTTCCCCCGTTTCCTCAGACCCCACCCAAGGGCCACACTGCGTGGCGTCCTGTTGGCGGGGGACACCTGGAGATGTCAAATGACATCAGAATGAAACACTGGAGAGGAAGAAACAAGGTCCGGGTTCTGGGGCAGCCCCCCACACGCGGGACCTCGGGGGGCTCCCCTCGCCCCTGGGCCTGCCCCCCAGCCACCCCCTCACCTGTGCCCATCACCTGCTGGGGGCACCAAAGGGACCAGAGATTCAAATGCCCGGGATCTGCTGTGGTCACCTCCCCGTGTTCTCGGATCTACCCCCAAAATGTCCCCTGCTCGTGGGACTCCTGTAGCTGGAGACCCGACCTCCTGAAGAGAGAGGCCGGATGCACGGACCGTCCGGCCTTCAGGCCCCCAGCTGCAGGCAGGAGGGGCGGGACGGAGGCCGGTGGCCAGGAGGGGTGGCGAAGGCTTTGCAGTGGGCTTGCGGGCAGGGCAGGGGCAGGGGGGGCCCAGGCGGGAAGGATGAGACCAGACAGGAGGGAGGCTGGGGCGGGCGTCCAGGCGCGAGGTGGGGGGCATCTTGGAAACGATGTCGACTTTGGGGACAGCCAGAGACAGTTGGAATCCTGGCTCCTCTGTGGCCGGGGTGCCCCCTCATGCCTGCATGCGCCCCCTGTACACGGGGGGTACCGTGTACGGACGGCTCTGTTTAAAATGACGCACAACTTCGCATTTGGGGTCCGAGCAGAAAACAGTTTTTTCTCTGTGTGTAAAATCTACACATGACCCAATATTCCCCGTCCTTCCCCGCCCCCCACTTAGCTGAGAGGAGAAGACCCCAGAACCCATCGAGGTTCGTCCACTGTCGAAAGGGGGCTCGGTGAAGTGGCACCCGAGAACAGACGGGGCGGGGTCGTCGACGGCGGAACTCCAGTGCCAGAGCTGGGGCGCACGCGGTGCTGGCAAAGCGCTCGCATGCTTCCGCTGGTCCCGAGCACGGGGCACACGAACCCTAGCGTCAGGGGAGTGTCCGGCCCGGCATGTGGGCACTGAGGGGCTTCCCAGATGTGGGACTTTCAGAGCTGAACCTGGGAAAGTCCAGGGCTAACCGGGCAAGCTGTCACCCTACTGGGAACAGTGGGGGAGAGCGTCCGAAGGACGGCTTGGGACCGGCCTCGAGGGGTCTTTGCATGCTGGGACAATGGTTGGGACCTCCCAGGTGACGCGGGGCCCCGGGAGACCAAGCAGGGCAGGCGGCGTTGTGGCTATGCTTCTAGAGCGACAACTTAACATTTATTCTGCCTGACCGGCACGGCCGCCCTGAAACCTCACGCCCATCACAGTGGGGGGCCGCTGCGGACCCCAACTCCCCCACGCTGCTTGCTGCCGTTGCGCCCTCCTCCTCACCCACCTCCTAGTGTGGCTCTTTGAAAATGTGGGGGGTTTTCTTCTCTCAGCCACACGCTAAGATGGGAGAGGACCGTGCTCTAGGGGGGCCCTGCACCCACCTCTGCTGCACCTCGACTCCCACCTCCCCACGGAGCATCAAGTCCCCTGACGAAGCCCTTGGCGGCCCTGGCCAAGCCTGGACTAGACAGGGAGGCAGCGTCCACTCGGGCTGGTGGCCTGGAGCTTCTCCGGCCTTCCATCCCAGGGGGGCCTCCAGCCACCATGCACGGGTGTCGGCTGAGCCTGGACACAGGGGTGAGGAGGACACACCCTCTCGAGGAATGCACGGCGTGGCTGGGAGCAGACACCGAGGCGACAGGGGGCACAGCCTCCCCAGGGTTCAGCACTCACCCCCTTCCCCCCCCATTTCAAAGCTCAGCTCCAGCACACCTGCCGAGGCTGGTCTCTGCGTCAAGGCCCCGGTAAGCGACCCCTTCCCCGCGGAGGTGTAAGCAAGGTGACCTCTGCCACCTAAGTCGTCACTCTTCTCCCTGGTCCTTCCCTGACCTCCCTTTCCTCTCATCATTTATGAGTCAGACACACGTGGCAAAGAGCTCCTTTTCCTCAACTATCAAAACTAAACAAAAATCCCTCCCCGCGGCCGTGCTGGGAATATAAGGGGGACCCCACGGCACTTCCTGCACAGTAGATGCGAGTAAATGTGATGGGGGCGATGCTGGCGATGCTGCTGATGCTGCTGATGCTGCTGATGCTGGTGATGCTGCTGATGCTGGTGATGCTGGCGGTGATATTGGAGGTGATGCTGGCGGTGATATTGGAGGCGATGCTGGCGGTGATGCTGGCGGTGAAGGACCAGGAGAAGACTCTGCAGCTGGTACAGAGCAGGCGCTCGCGGAAGGTGCCTTCTGGCTTCATATAAAGTTCTCTCTCCCTCCTTTTAAAGCATGACACTGAGAAATAATCGAACTCCCAGGGGGGCAGCCCTGGAGGCCCGCCGTTCCCCGGGGCTCAGCTTTGCAGCGTGGAGAGCTGGGCCAGAGACCAGGTTTCCCTCTGGCATGGCCGCAGTCTCTGTTTTCCTATCGCTAAAACGGGATGACAATCTGCCCAAGGCATCGGTTGTTGAGCAGTCAACAAGGCGACATGGCGGGAAAAGCCCCAGAAGCGTGTCTGGCACATCAGTGCTAATAAGTATTAGCTCATCCTGTTCTCCAAGGATCCAGACCGAGAGGCCGATCCCCACTCGGAGCCACTTCAGTGCACCTTCCCCCTGCCGGGGGCCCGTGCAGGGGTGTCCGCTCACTCGCCTCCTGTCACAGCCACCTGGAGCCAGGTAGGCACTGCTGCCTCCTCGGTGAGGACCCAGATGCCACAGGGCAGGGAGCTGTGGGGTCGCCGGGTGAGGCGGGGACCGGTCTCCCGCCTCCTGGCTCTCCTCTCCTGCGGGCGGGCGCC